AGGATAAGAACAGAGCCTGTATTTTTTGTGGAGTCTGCCCAATATCACAGTTTCCATGAAAATCATGCAATCACAATTTTGGTCAGTCCCTAGTAATGACTGGGTTGCAAGGGGCCACCTGTCATTAGTAAAAGGTTGCTAATCACCATCCCCCAAAACAGATTACTGTACAGTAAGGGTCTGCACATGTAGACAGTGATACTTACTATGTAGTTATTTGCTCTACTGCGCAGTAAAGCATCTCATGTAGATGTGCCCTCTGTCACCTAAAATAATATTAACACTACAAACTGGGTTTTGTGTTTGGGGATTTAAGATAAAGCTAGTCCCTGTAGATGTGTCTTCTGATGGTTTATATATTGGCCTAACACTAACCTGCTATATTATGCTGACTCTCACATGGCATAGAGGGCATTTTTTTCTATTTGTCTATCTATCTGTATCATCACAGTAAATATTAAATTATTAAGACAGCTCATGCAAATCTGAAAAATAATCAATATAACAGCCTCTATCTCACTGGGTTGTTTTGTTCTTCCCTCACAATTATAAAAATAGCTTGATTAGTTAGTTTGTTTGTATTTATCTGTACATATTTGTGGATAGATAGATGCACGCAAAGGAAATAATAAGTAAGGAAAAGCTAATGTGAAGAAACAAGATAACTTTGAAAGTGATCCGTATTGTGGGCATCGTTACCTTGGAAGGAATATGTTCAAAAGGCTGGATGCAGATACTGTGAATATTTTGTCTCTCTTCAAAATCTCTCAGGAGTATCAATATTATTCAGGAAATCAGCTAATGTTGGAGGTCTGTGTTCTCAAGGGAGGCTCTTGGATAGCTTAGCCCAGTCAAATGCAGATCTCTGAATATAAGGATCAAGACCTTGAACTTTATTCTATTAATCTGATTTTAACAACAAGCTTTCTTAAATGTTATGTCACTTAATTTTTTTCCACATTTTCACTTGTTCCCTTTTCAATAATATGTTCTATAACTCAGTAAAGTCTCATCTCCCCAGCCCACAGATACAAGCTATTAGTCTGGAACTAAGACTAAATCTAAAAAATGCCAAATGTAATGAAAAAGAGCAGAGGAGGGTACTGAATGGTTTACTTGAATGGAAATGGTATATGAAGTCTTTCACCTGTTTTCACAGCTTTGAATCTTCTTTTAGCAATAGTCAGAATTTCTGAGCATTTGATAGCTAGCTGTTCACCAACCTCTGTAAAAGAAGTTGTTAGTCTCAGTCCACCTTCTTGTGACTACTGTCCATATCACAAAAATCATAGTACCAGTTGATACTTAATTTTACATCCTTGTTTACTATATCAGTAAAAAAAAACAACAAAGCTCTGACAATGATGTATTCACCTCCACACAGCATTTATATGCCTGCATCTCTATGGCATTATTACTTATTTAATAAAACTACTGGCATTATTATATGGTCCTTTCCTGCTCCAATGGATTCAATAAAAAACATTCAACAGACATTTTGCAGTTTTAAGGAACTCTGAACAGATTATATTATTTGTTTTAAAAAGAGTGTATATTTTGTTTGGTACAATTTATAAAACAATAAAAGTGGTCTTACCCAAAGCTCTCATTACAATTTGAAAGCCAGTTTCTCAGTTGATAAAAATGATATAGCTCTACTGACTTTATTTGAAGACATAGCTTTTTAAGGGGGTGCCAACTGTGCCCATTTTTAGTTGATCACATATAAGCTGCCAGTCAGTTTTAGTCATATAGATCCTCGAGGTAGGTAAAGATGCCAAAAAGGTGCTAAGGAGAATTATTACTCAAAGTGGGAGAATGGGAGCTTTTAATAAGGTTTGAGTTCTAAGAATCTTTCATAACTATTTTTTAAATAAAGGAGGGAGTATTTCTATATTAATATGAAGCACAAAGTACTAGAAATAGCACAGGATTCTTTGGAAACTTCCAATGTTGTTGGCAGGAATATGAAAAATGTTTCTGTTAGAGCTTTTGGATACTTATAGAAATTTGGCTGAATCTCCAAGCTATTTAAAAGAGAGAGCAACTAGGGAAAGTTCATACAGTACAATTAGGAAATATATTATCAGAGAGACACTAGAGCAGTTTCATCACAGGATAATGGAAAGACTATTTTCCACTCTCTGTATTTTAACAAAGAATAAATGTACTGTGTGGCTTTGTCTACTTTAAAGTCTATTTGTTTCAGTATTTCAAGCAATCTCTGCTTGTTATGTATGGGCAGAGGCCCTTTTTAAAGAAATCAACCTTTAAATTACAGTTCTGTTATGCTTGTTATATCTTGTGTTTAAATCCAAGGGGAAAAAAAACAAACCCACTTTGCAATTCTCATATTTGTCAATTATTCAATTTTCATTGGATTGCTTTGCAATGTTTTGATCTCTCAGGAATGAGCATTGTCTGAGGGTCAAGAGCAAAATGTAATGTAAGAAAGTGCAAAAGAAATTAAATAAATGGATCATACACTTGAATATGTGCCTCTGTATAAATTTTATAGAAGTATGTACTAGGTATGTGATGGCAGTTAAAAGCTTAGTATAAATAAAAAAGCAAAGAATGGAACTGTAATAGCTTCCCAGTGTATAGGGCTTCACACCTTCCAGAGAAAACTGATGTGACAAGCACAGGTGTATTGCAAAGGCTGAACAGGCCATTTATTACAACCATTCAAATAACAACACTTTATAGGAAATTTCTAGCTCAGAACCTTAAAGTGCTTTACAAAATGCAGTTCTCTATTTCACAATTTTATAAAGTAAGATCACTGCTTGAGTTGTGGAAAAATGAGGGCCAGTTTGTGTGAGTTTGACATTTTGAGTGAATCTTATATGGTCTGTGTAATGGGATTGGCATTGGTTTGTATGACTTCAGAACTGTTTGGAGTATGGATGCTAAAAAATCTCAGCTCCAAGTAAACTTACCTCTACACTTAGATTCTGCAGGGTTTTTTCAATCTCCCCATGTTATCCCAGACTCCCTGTTACCCAATAAAGGCATGTCTGTGCATGCATACAGAAGTGCAGGAAGGCAATGCTAAAAGTTACAGGGTAATCCAATAAAGTAGTCATTCTGCATTTGGAGGGGAGGTGGTGGGGGAGAGAGGGGCAATGTCTTCCTGCACTGGCTGAGGTCAGGAGGCAGGGGGTGTTGTTTCATGCCTCCCAGTGTGCTCTTCAGGATTTGGGGGCTGCTGGAAACTGCTAAGGGCAGCCAAAGAAGCTAGCCATAACCAAGCAACCTGTCTGTCTGGGCCCTGTGTGGCCAGCCCCACTCCTGGGTAGTCAGTGACAGCCTTTCATCCCAGCTTCACTTCCTCCCTCTGACCAGCTGAGAGCCAAAGCCTGGCCAAAGGGAGGGAAATGGGGATGATGTCTCTCCCCTCTGCTTACTCCCCCAGAACCAGGAAAGTGATCATCCCAGCCAGCTGCAGTAAGAGCCCAGCAAGAACAAGGAGGGTGGTGGGGTGACCCCTCCCCTGCACTGTGCCTAGCAGGGCTACTCACTCCCCTAGTCCTAAAGGAGCGAACAGGGAGAGACTCCTCCTCCTACAGGATGCCTGGCCAAGCTGATCACTCACCCAGTGCTAGGGGAGCACCCCTAAGCAAAGGTTTAAGCTCCTCCAGCAGGTTTAAGCTAGAATGTTGCCAGTATTGTGATTCTGTCTTGAACATCATGATAAAGCTTTTCTTAGAATCCAACTGCTGGAATTAACAGGATGCATGATAATCTCAGCTTTCACTGAAAAACTATGAGTTTCTATCTTTGAAAGTTATCTAGAAAAGCTTGAAAATATGAGGCAAAGTTGTTATTATTAAAAAAAAATACAATTTTTAAAACAATCTCATGCCTCTTGATTCTTGATAATGGAAACAATGGGGACGATCCATACAAATATAGTCTTATATGATAACTGCTTCTTGCTTGACACAAAGATGATGGAACAATGCACCTCCTAAGCTCAAAAGCACGAGTTATTACAGCTTGACCTAAAGACCATAGTAATTAACTGATAAAGAATTTACTTTGGAGAGTAGGCACCCTCCTGGTGGATAATGTGGGATAGGTAGATGTAATTTTGCCCTAACATGAAAATAAGTAAGTTAGATGAAGGAGAGCCCCAATACCTGACTAGGCAGGGACACACCATGTTTGCAAGGTTGTTGCTATACATTTTTCTTTTTCTGACAATTTTGTTTTAAGGCAAATGCTGAAATATTTGTTTTTTACAATGTAAAAATGATTAGGTAGTCTGAAAGAATAATCTCTCCCCATCTGAGGCACTTTATAAAAGATTTGTGATTTAGAAAAAACCTTATTTGCCTTCAAAATAGAGTGAACATTGCAAGGTACTATCATACATTGCGGGGTAGAATAAGGGAGGAATTTTATTAACCTTTTTGCACCTAAATGGCAATTTTAGAATTGTGTATGTGGTGTGTTTTGCTGCTTACAGATGGTGAGCGTGTTCTTCTTCTAAGGCACACAACAAGATGTTATAGTTTCATTTTCCCTTGTGTTGGTGTCAATCTCTCCTGCCACGACTTTGATGGGAGTGATTAAAGCAGGACACCACACGAGAAGAGCGCTCACTTAGTTTTAATAACAAGCATCAGCAATGCCCGCTCACAAGAAGTGCTACTCACTAGCTGCCATCTGTAGGTCCCTCAGCTGGCTCTCCCTACAAGGTCCCGATTCAGATATCAGTCCCGCAATCAACACTCACCAGGTGGGCATTTTCAAACCCGCTCCGCTTATCAGTTCACAGCAGCAAAGTCCTTGTCACAGATCTGGACGTAGCTGCAATTGTCCGGCTGAATCAGGAATTCATCTTCTAATGGGCCGCATACCCAACGCTCACCACTTCAACAAGAAATTCTTCGCGAATCTCTCTCTTATCACCTGTGCCTCCACGCAGGCTGCTTGATGTCTCTGGCATCTAATGTCTCAGCTCCTCTTCCCCTCCTGTGGAAAAGCACCGACAGTCCTTTATACAATGTTTCCACTTGGCTGTTGTCAATCTCTGGTTGTCCACTGCCAGCCGGGAAGACTTAATTGGCAATTAAGCCTTTTGTTGTCCCAATCTGCTTGAGCACCTCATCACTGTCAGCAAGTAATGGACACTTCACCAAAGTCCATAGCAGGTATTTAGCATCCTGGATGGGCAAATAGTTAATCTGTTGCCTAGTTCCACGGGTCAGACAGAAAGTTCTCAATAAATTGGATGCTTTTCCCTAACATTCCCATAACAGGGCCAGTGACTCCCTGTTACACAGATAATTTGCAATTCTTTTAGCCATGCATTATGGATGTGTACATTTTGAAGCATAGATAGAGCATGCACTGTAGACTATGAACTGGCAGGGCATGAACATGGCTATGCAGGTGTGGTCCTGGAAAAATGGCAGAGGAGGCTCCACTACCTAAGTAGTTAGAGTCAGAACCTAGTCCCAGATGATTACATGGTCAGGCAGTAGATGATTACACAGTCAGGTGGGTAGCAAATTTGCTTAGGGGTCACACACTGAGAGTGGTGGTGGTTGGGTTGGTATCGACCTGGAAAGATGTGGGCAGTGGAGTCCCATAGGGCTCAGTCCTTGGACCTATGCTGTTCAATGTCTTCATCAGTGACTTGGATGAGGGCATGGAAAGCACTCTGTCCAAATACACAGATGATATCAAATTATGGAGTAAAGTGAAACTCTAGAGGGTAGGAAAAGAATCCGGAAGGATCTCGACAGGTTGGAAAAGTAAGCAGAACAGAATAGAATGCAGTTCAATAAAGACAAGTGCAAGGTTCTGTACCTAGGGAGAAGGAATCACCAGCAGACTTACAGGCTGGGGGAAGACCTTCTCAGCAGCACAGCAATGGAAAGGGATCTTGGAGTGATTGTTGACACCAAGATGAACATGAGTCATCAATGAGCTGAAGCAATCAGTAAAGCTAACCGCATTTTATCATGCATTAGCAGGTGCATGACAAACAGGTCCAGGGAGGTGGTACTTCCCCATTATGCAACCTTGGTCAGGCCGCAGTTGGAGTACTGCATCCGTTTTGGGCACTGCACTTCAAGAGAAATGTGGACAACCTCGAGGGGCAAAAGCCTATGAGGAGAGATTGGGGGCCCTGGATCTCTTCAGCCTCCGCAAGAAAAGGCTGAGAAGTAATCTTGTGTCCGCCTACAAATTCACTGGGGGAAGGTGGGTAGGGGCAGAAGGAATAGGAGATGCTCTGTTTACCAGGGTACCCCTTTGAGTAACTAGGAACAATGACCACAAACTGACAGAGAGCAGATTTAGGTTAGACATCATAAAGAACTTATTTACGGTAAGGGTTGCCAGAATCTGGAGTGGACTTCCAATGGAGGTGGTGCTGTGCCCTACCTTGGGGGTCTTTAAGAGGAAGCTAGACATGCACCTGGCTGAGGTCGTCTGACCCCAGTGCTCTTTCCTGTCCAGGGCAGGGGGTCAGACTCAATCTGCTAAGGTCCCTTCCAACCCAAACATCTATGAATCTATGAGTCCTTCCTTGCCTAGAAAGGAATTAAACCTGCATCTCTCTGAACTCCTAAAAAGATGCTCAAGCACCACACCAGATATTGGGTGCTAGTCATTCTCCAGTACTCCTTTTGAAGCTGGGCCATTGCACCTTGTATCAAATACTCATTGTATAAAATGGTTGTAAAGCAGTGCACAACAGAACAAATATCAAGGCTAGAACGTGTAGTGTGGCCTCTTTCAAAGCAGCAGCCATCTTTCTGTCAGACACTCTCTAGCTTACTCTTTCCTTCCTGATACCACATGGCTTCCTCTCATGGCTGTGCAGAGGTCCATCTTCAGGAAGAGTTCTGTGTCTAGTTAGAACACTGCTCTCAGAGTAACACAGGTCCATGCTGAGCAAGGAATCCCAGGACCTAGGTCTCTGATTGGTTCGGTGAGAGCCCTAAGCACACAGTTATTGAACTAAACCACAGGAGGGTTGCTGACCATATACCTTTCCTGGGACATCAACTCAGGTCTGTACATGAGTAGTCAAGCATATACCCAGAGTTCATAGCCTACTGCACATACTCAATTTGAGCACCTAATATTTGAGCATGCTTACATATCCATACCAGAGAGATGATAGACTCATAAGCCCTACATAAATGGCAAGAATATGACTTATAAGCCTGAAAAACTGACATTGAAGTTCACAAAATGGAATGGATTTCCACCCGAAATCCAAATAAGACAGAAGCTATAACTATGATGCGAGACTGCTTTTCCACAGCCATAAATCTTGACATCTTGGAATAGAGAGGTAGTTTCAGTTACCCACACATATCTTATTGCTTTGCCTATTTATTGCATATCTTTGAAAACTATATGAAATTAAGACTAATTTGTCTAAGCATTGTGTTTTCATATCTGACTTTTTTTTTAAATATTCATAAGTGGGGGGTTTTATAGCATTTACCTTTGTGGTCTGTCACTTAAAATTGTCATTTGTAGAAAAATATTATATGTAGCATATTTTTAGGAATCAATTAGCAGGACAGTTTTTAAAATATGAGATGGGATGGTTATTAGACGCAAAAAAGACCCGAGTACTATGCTGTCAATTTGTGATGCTTCATATTGATTGCGATTAGTATTATTTTCCCTCATTACATTCCCCTGTGTCACTGAAGGATGTAAAGACCATTTTGGTATCTAAATCTGGAATGTTCAGTGGAACTGTGTGATAATGACTTCTCTTACAAAGCATTGGTGTTTTAGTGCTTTGTAATCAGCTAATTCTGAACATTGATGTCAGTTCATAGTCTTCTGTGTGACACTGCACTTGATGCCCAGCATTCCTAATCTAGAGTTAGAAAAAAAAATCAGAAGAATTTAAGACCTGTCAGCTGAAGTATGTATAGTATCATCCCATCCTGCTCAGATAGACCATGTGTTTAGATTAGTATGTATAGACATTTTAACATTCAGGTTTCAAATATCAGGTTCCAATTAGACATATCAGATCCATACATACTCCAAAGCCTAAGAGAAGGGAAGAATTAAAATTCTAGTACAGTACTCAGTATACACTTCTGTGTGGCCTGGCTCCAATATCAGCACTTCATTTTAATGATAACTGCAGCTCTGGTGTTCATTCTAAAATCCTTAAATGTACTTAACAACCTGTTTATGCTTGGAGTGTATTGAGTTTATGGGGATAGCCAAATGAAGCAGATAAGTGTATTATGTAAAATCGTATACTGAAATGCTTATTCTAGCAGTTAGTATGCATCTGGAGTAAATTTGTAGACCATTATGTAAGGTTTGCATGCATTTTAAATAAAGGATATTCATTTTAATTTAGGAGAACACAATTATGTGGGAAACAGAAAGGTCTCAACAATGCAATCATAGATTGAGTACTGTTTGAACAAGTATAGCCATCTTAAATTCACTGTTAATACTTTGCACTTCCAATTTTTTTGCATGCAGGTTATGTGCTGTTTCTACCATGGATCAGCAGCTGCAACTATTAAAGTTATGCATTCATTATGTATATTAAAACTTTGTTTAACACAAGAGGCCTATTTTCCATTTATTTGACAAACCACTTTCTGGAACAAAAACAGGGATTCAGAGCCTGGCTGATATGTATTTTATGCTTGTTTCTAGTTAGGCATCTGTTTATCTCGCATTGTTAGTAATTTCAAGGTATCTACCATCATGGCATCTGCAAGTGTTACTTTTTTAATGGTCTCTCACTATTAAAGCTATGAAAGACATTGTCAAGCTATTTTTATAGGTTTTTTAGTTTTTCTTTACACAGTTTACAATAATACTTTGAAGGCTTGTAAATATAATTGGTTCCCTTTTTGAATGTTTTTCCTCTGTCAAAAATGTGCTGTAACTGCATTGTTATAGCTGCTTATGAATATTAGGCTATTGGCACTATTTTTAAAATAGTTTTGAGACATTAAATGGTATTACAAGAATATGAAGACAAGGAAGCATTTTTGATAATACTCCCTTTCTATAGCTAGGATATTGAAGCTCGAGATATTAGCTGGTACCTTGAAGTGAATTAGTCCAATTTTGTTGGGACATTATGAAGCTTTCAGGCTCACAAGTATTTCTGGTATGCATTCTACTTACAGATCTTGAACAATAAAAAAACAAACACAAAAAATCCCAAACATGCCTCTAGACAGAGGCAGCAGATGGAGCATTGAAACTGAGCCCTCCCGCCTCCAATTAAATTTCCTTCTTTCCTTGTTCCTTCATATTCTGTCCATATTATACTACTTTTATCAATTATAAATGTGTCCAAATAGAGTAACTGAATTTTAGCAATATTTTAAACCTAGGTTTGGGAGGTAAAATTCTTTAGCTACTGTTTCAAAATACAGCTGGAAACCTTCTGTCAACATATCATGTTCTCTGAATCAGTAAATCAAATGGAATATAGAGTTTTATTGAACAGATTTTCCAAAAGGATTAAGTTTTAGAATATTCACCAGCTTCAGTAAAGGCCCACTGAAGTCAACCAGAGTTATGGATTCAGATGAAATATGTGAGGTGATATAGCTTTCAATAACAAATATCTATAGAGAAAAAGTAACTTCTTAAAAATTCCAAATAAACACTAACTAGAACTACATAAAATGAATATGGCAACTTTAATTTTAGTATACCAAGAAAACTGTTACATGACAGAGCACACCCCCCATCTCCTCTTGCTCTATCAAAAAGTGCAGCTTTATTTTGCAGCTATATATTCTACCCCTGAGGCGCAAAACAACTTTGATACGCAAAAGGAAATGTGGAAAGCTTGAAGTGAAGAATGGCAAGTTCCCTTTAATTAAGAAACTGGCGTACATATAATGTAAATCTCATGTGGGTTTGCACAAATCTTGTTCTCAAATGGATAAAAATGTGCAAACCCCACTGAATCAAAGAATCAAAGAAAATAGCATCTGAGGGTATAAGCTACTAATCGTGAGCTTTGTGGGGTGATTCAGAGAGAAAAATCAAGATTTGCCAGTTTACCAAATAAATCTGATGCTAATTAGAAGCTGAAACCAAATCTCAAAAAA